TGATTCTCATGCCCCTTCCCCCCACTAGCCAGTCACACTCACCTTCACAAAGTTCTGCAATTTCCATGCCCCCCACTCCCACTAGCCACTCACCTTCGCAAAGTGCTGTGATTCTCATGCCCCTCCCCCCACTAACCAGTCACACTCACCTTCGCAAAGTGCTATGATGTCCATGCCCCTCCCCCCACTAACCAGTCACACTCACCTTCGCAAAGTGCTGTGATTCTCATGCCCCTCCCCCCACTAACCAGTCACACTCACCTTCGCAAAGTGCTGTGATTCTCATGCCCCTCCCCCCACTAACCAGTCACACTCACCTTCGCAAAGTGCTGTGATTCTCATGCCCCTCCCCCCACTAACCAGTCACACTCACCTTCGCAAAGTGCTGTGATTCTCATGCCCCTCCCCCCACTAACCAGTCACACTCACCTTCGCAAAGTGCTGTGATTCTCATGCCCCTCCCCCCACTAACCAGCCACACTCACCTTCGCAAAGTGCTATGATGTCCAAGCCCCCACAAAATAACACTATCATCATTAAAGATGAAAAAGTGTCAACAACAATTTATGGCGGTACATTTGATGACATCTGTGTGCCAGGTACATTTGATGACATCTTTGTGCCAGGTACATTTGATGACATCTGTGTGCCATGTACATTTGATGACATCTGTGTGCCAGGTATATCTGAGACATCTGTGTGCCATGTACATTTGATGACATCTGTGTGCCAGGTACATTTGATGACATCTTTGTGCCAGGTACATTTGATGACATCTGTGTGCCATGTACATTTGATGACACCTGTGTGCCAGGGACATTTAATGACATCTGTGTGCCAGGTACATTTAAGACATCTGTGTGCCAGGTATATTTAAGACATCTGTGTGCCAGGTATATTTGATGACATCTGTGTGGCAGGCACATTTTGTTAAATATGACATTTCCTAATAAATAAATTATATGATTTATGAACCAGGTCTTTGGCTGCTCACTGAAGGCTCCGAAAGTTGATACAGAATCCTTCAATCTTATGCCTATAAACAGTTTGTTGGAGTTTGTTTAAGCTGAAGTAAACAATTTGCTGGAGCAGTGTAAACAGTTTGTTGAAGCTGTGTAAACAGTTTGTTGGAGCCATGTAAACAGTTTGTTGAAGCCATGTAAACAGTTTGTTGAAGCTGTGTAAACAGTTTGTTGGAGCCATGTACAAAGTTTGTTGGAGCTGTGTGAACAGTTTGTTGGAGCTGTGTGAACAGTTTGTTGGAGCTGTGTGAACAGTTAGGCAACTATCAAGAGTGAAACTGATGAAGAGACTGTCAACAAGTCCCATTTTCATGGAATCCCCGTGTGGGTTCAGGGACCCTATTATGGGGAAAACAAGAATAGACCCAATACCTCCCCAACAAGGATGCCGTAGGATTTAAATAGTTGGGAGCTTTCTTCTAAGTCGAAGTGCATCTGTCTGAGAGTCAAGGAACCAACAATCTGCATACAAATAAGTCAGATCTGTAAATCAGATGTGCATGCAACACTCAGGTTCTGGAACAAGACTAAAGTTTAGAAGTGGACAAACAACCGTAAAGTTCTGGCAGAGTTTACACCAGGTGAACGTGAAAAAGATTTCCATGAGAACTACCGCAGAACTCTCTTGTTCTCTCCAAACTCAGGAAGCAGCCGGGTGTACGAGACCAACTATGCATGCTCATGAAGTAGCCGGGTGTACGAGACCAACCATGCATGCTCATGAAGTAGCCTGGTGTATGTGACCAGCCATGCATGCTCAGGAAGTAGCCTGGTGTATGAGGCCAGCCATGCATGCTCATGAAGTAGCCTGGTGTATGTGACCAGCCATGCATGCTCAGGAAGTAGCCTGGTGTACGAGACCAACTATGCATGCTCATGAAGTAGCCGGGTGTACGAGACCAACCATGCATGCTCATGAAGTAGCCTGGTGTATGTGACCAGCCATGCATGCTCAGGAAGTAGCCTGGTGTATGAGGCCAGCCATGCATGCTCATGAAGTAGCCTGGTGTATGTGACCAGCCATGCATGCTCAGGAAGTAGCCTGGTGTACGAGACCAGCCATGCATGCTCAGGAAGCAGCCTGGTGTACAAGACCAGCCATGCATGCTCAGGAAGCAGCCTGGTGTACAAGACCAGCCATGCATGCTCAGGAAGCAGCCTGGTGTAGAAGACAAAGACAGTACACAGAGAGCAAACAAAGACAACACAGTACACAGAGAGCAAACAAAGACAACACAGTACACAAAGAGCAAACAAAGACAACACAGTACACAGATAGCAAACAAAGACAACACAGTACACAAAGAGCAAACAAAGACAACACAGTACACAAAGAGCAACCAAAGACAACACAGTACACAAAGAGCAAACAAAGACAACACAGTACACAGAGAGCAAACAAAGACAACACAGTACACAAAGAGCAAACAAAGACAACACAGTACACAAAGAGCAAACAAAGACAATACAGTACACAAAGAGCAAACAAAGACAATACACAGATAGCAAACAAAGACAACACAGTACACAGATAGCAAACAAAGACAACACAGTACACAGAGAGCAAACAAAGACAACACAGTACACAGAGAGCAAACAAAGACAACACAGTACACAGATAGCAAACAAAGACAACACAGTACACAGAGAGCAAACAAAGACAACACAGTACACAGATAGCAAACAAAGACAACACAGTACACAAAGAGCAAACAAAGACAACACAGTACACAGAGGACAAACAAAGACAACACAGTACATGGCCCTGTGTATCTTTAATACAATGTCAAACCTGGCAACGGCATTTCTGGTATGACATCAAGGGTATATAAAAACTACTGCACATTATACGAAATAATGAGTCAGCATACATGACACTAACCATCAACCATTGAACAATACATGTAAACAATCAATCATAAAACATCAATCATTAAATATTACATGTAAACAATCAATCATTAAACATTACATGTAAACAATCAATCATCAAACATTTCATGTAAACAATCAATCATTAAATATTTCATAAACAGTCAGTTACTGAACATGACATGGAAATAACTGACACTGACATTAAAACAATGAACTACTGAACATTGCACCAAAAACAAAAATTGAACATTTTATTACTACAGTTTATGATGTGTGGTGCAGGTAACCATGATTGGTTTTAGTCTCTCAACATCCCTTGACGTTATCCTCCCATTCGTATTGCTGTGTACCTCTTGCTTGCACACTTTCAACTTGTTCTGCATATCTCCAGGGCCCCAACTCATTGTCTAACTTGTCTGCATTAACTGTCTAACTTGTCTGCATTAACTCATTGTCAAACTTGTCTGCATTGACTCACTGTCAAACTTGTCTGCATTAACTCATTGTCAAACTTGTCTGCATTAACTCATTGTCCAACTTGTCTGCATTAACTCATTGTCAAACTTGTCTGCATTAACTCATTGTCAAACTTGTCTGCATTAACTCATTGTCAAACTTGTCTGCATTGACTCATTGTCCAACTTGTCTGCATTAACTCATTGTCAAACTTGTCTGCATTAACTCATTGTCAAACTTGTCTGCATTGACTCATTGTCAAACTTGTTTGCATTAACTCATTGTCCAACTTGTCTGCATTAACTCAACTCATTGTCCAACTTGTCTGCATTAACTCATTGTCCAACTTGTCTGCATTAACTCATTGTCCAACTTGTCTGCATTGCACAATAAAAACTTGAGTATATACATAATATGTTGACTATCTTGGTTTCCTAAAGTGGGTGCTGCGGGTTCTTCTCATTTTGCATTCACCCTGAAAAGGATGGCTGGCTGGTTTTGTTTTAGTTTACAGGCCTTTTAGTTCAACACATCTAATTTCAGCAAAACACTAGTCACCTCTTATGACATGGCTATGAAGGAGCAGTGAATCAACAAGTCAACACTGACCCACCCTGGTAGCTGACCTACAGGTCAACACTGACCCGCCCTGGTAGCTGACCTACAGGTCAACACTGACCCACCCTGGTAGCTGGTGTACATGTCAACACTGATCCACCCTGGTAGCTGGTGTACATGTCAACACTGATCCACCCTGGTAGCTGGTGTACATGTCAACACTGACCCACCCTGGTAGCTGGTGTACAGGTCAACACTGACCCACCCTGGTAGCTGGTGTACAGGTCAACACTGACCCAAAATGGTAGCTGGTGTACATGTCAACATTGACCCACCCTGGTAGCTGGTGTACATGTCAACACTGGCCCACCCTGGTAGCTGGTGTACAGGTCAACACTGACCCAAAATGGTAGCTGGTGTACATGTCAACATTGACCTACCCTGGTAGCTGGTGTACATGTCAACACTGACCCACCCTGGTATCTGGTGTACATGTCAACACTGACTCACCCTGATAGCGGGTGTAAATGTCAACACTGACCTACCCTGGTAGCTGGTGTACATGTCAACACTGACCTACCATGGTAGCTGGTGTACATGTCAACACTGACCTACCCTGGTATCTGGTGTACATGTCAACACTGACCCACCCTGGTAGCGGGTGTACATGTCAACACTTACCTACCCTGGTAGCGGGTGTACATGTCAACATTGACCTACCCTGGTAGCGGGTGTACATGTCAACATTGACCCACCCTGGTAGCTGGTGTACATATCAACACTGACCTACCCTGGTAGCGGGTGTACATGTCAACGCTGACCCACCCTGGTAGCTGGTGTACATGTCAACGCTGACCTACCCTGGTAGCTGGTGTACATGTCAACACTGACCTACCCTGGTAGCTGGTGTACATGTCAACACTGACCCACCCTGGTAGCTGGTGAACATGTCAACACTGACCCACCCTGGTAGCTGGTGAACATGTCAACACTGACCCACCCTGGTAGCTGGTGTACATGTCAACACTGACCCACCCTGGTTGCTGGTGTACATGACAACACTGACCAACCCTGGTATCTGGTGACATTCTACAGGTCAACTCCAGACATCTTGCTGGGCAGATTTTTGCTGCTGATGATGATCTTTCCTTTAGGCTGTATAGCCTCCTGTTGGAGTGAGAGGGGCGAAATGTTAACACTGAAGTCCCAGCAGAATATCAGCAACACTACATATGTCAGCAAACATGTGAGAAACAGGAAATGTGTCAGCAAACATGTGACAAACAGGAAGTGTGTCAGCAAACATGTAAGAAACAGGAAATGTGTCAGCAAACATGTGAGAAACAGGAAAAGTGTCAGCAACATGTGAGAAACAGGAAATGTGTCAGCAACATGTGAGAAACAGGACATGTGTCAGCAACATGTGGAAAACGGTAAATATGTCAGCAAACGTGTAAAACAGGATATGTGTCAGCAAACATGTGAGAAACAGGAAATGTGTCAGCAAACATGTGACAAACAATAAATGTATCAGCAACGTGTGACAAACAGGAAATGTGTCAGCAACATGTGACAAACAGGAAATGTGTCAGCAAACATGTGAGAAACAGGACATGTGTCAGCAACATGTGAGAAATGGGAAATATGTCAGCAAACATGTGTAAAACAGGAAATGTGTCAGCAGCGTGTGAGAAACAGGAAATGTGTCTGCAACAAGAGATATATAAATAAAAATTACCCATTTGAGGAAAAAGACATGACCGAGAATCACAAACACCTGAGAGACAACAAAAAAGAGAAGGTTGTGCAAAAAAACAACATATGTGAAAAACTTGTGAGAAACAAGACATGTATAAGGAACAAGACATGTGTAAGGAACAAGACATGTGTAAGGAACAAGACATGTATAAGGAACAAGACATGTGTGGGGAAACAAGACATGTATAAGGAACAAGAAATGTGTGGGAAACAAGAAATAAGTGAGCATCAGTTTCAGCACACACTGAGCTCAGGGCACAGTAAGAACATCATATACTGACATCAAGATGTAGTAAGAACATCATATACTGACAAAAGGACACAGTGAGAACATTACAAAGTGACTCAAGACACAGTGAGAACATCACACACTGACATCAAAATGTAGTGGGATAATTGCACACTGACATCAGAATGCACGAGAACATCATGCACTGACATCAGGATGCACAAGAACATCATGCACTGACATCAGGATGCACTGAGGACATCACACACTAACATCAGGACACAGTGAGGACATCGCACACAGACCACAGGAAACAGTGAGGACATCACACACAGACATCAGGACACAGTGAGGACATCGCACACAGACCACAGGACACAGTGAGGACATCACACACAGACCTCAGGACACAGCGAGGACATCACACACAGACCTCAGAACACAGTAAGGACATCACAGACTGACATCAGGACACAGTGAGGACATCGCACACTGACATCAGGAAACAGAACATCACACACTGACATCAGCAAGCAGGTCAATATACAAAGACAACAATCCAGTGTGTGTGCGTGTGTGGACCTACTTTTTGTTGGTGCAGCTTCCTCATCTCCTGACGCAAACTATCCAGGACAGAGTGGTTGGGAGCATGACTCTTGATGTCGTTCATATCTTCAGGCTGTTGCACAAGTTTGGAGAAACAGAACAAGAGTTAGGAGTAGCTGAGTGCTGCCACAATTCTTCTACACTGACAATATGTAGCTTTTCACACACTTCTGTCTGTGATGTCTAGGGATATCCTTTTCACATACTACTGTCTGTGATGTCAAGAGATTTCCTTTTCACACAATACTGTCTGTGATGTCTAGGGATTTCCTTTTCACACACTACTGTCTGTGATGTCTAGGGATTTCCTTTTCACACAATACTGTCTGTGATGTCTAGGGATTTCCTTTTCACACAATACTGTCTGTGATGTCTAGGGATTTCCTTTTTACACACTACTGTCTGTGATGTCTAGGGATTTCCTTTTCACACACTACTGTCTGTGATCTAATGGGATTTCCTTTTCACACACTACTGTCTGTGATGTCTAGGGATTTCCTTTTTACACACTACTGTCTGTGATGTCTAGGGATTTCCTTTTCACATACTACTGTCTGTGATGTCTAGGGATTTCCTTTTCACACACTACTGTCTGTGATGTCTAGGGATTTCCTTTTTACACACTACTGTCTGTGATCTAATGGGATTTCCTTTTCACACAATACTGTCTGTGATGTCTAGGGATTTCCTTTTCACATACTACTGTCTGTGATGTCTAGGGATTTCCTTTTCACACACTACTGTCTGTGATGTCTAGGGATTTCCTTTTTACACACTACTGCCTGTGATGCATAGGGATTTCCTTTTCACACACTACTGTCTGTGATCTAATGGGATTTCCTTTTCACACACTACTGTCTTTTATGTCTAGGGATTTCCTTTTCACACACTACTGTCTGTGATGTCTAGAGATGTCCTTTTCACACACTACTGTCTGTGATGTCCTTTTCACACACTACTGTCTGTGATGTCAAGAGATTTCCTTTTCACACACTACTGTCTGTGATGTCTAGGGATTTCCTTTTCACACAATACTGTCTGTGATGTCTAGGGATTTCCTTTTCACACAATACTGTCCGTGATGTCTAGGGATTCCCTTTTCACACACTACTGTCTGTGATGTCTAGGGATTTCATTTTCACATGCTACTGTCTGTGATGTCAAGAGATGTCCTTTTCACACACTACTGTCTGTGATGTCTAGGGATTTCCTTTTCACACACTACTGTCTGTGATGTCTAGGGATTCCCTTTTCACACACTACTGTCTGTGATGTCTAGGGATTTCCTTTTCACACACTACTGTCTGTGATGTCTAGGGATTTCCTTTTCACACACTACTGTCTTTTATGTCTAGGGATTTCCTTTTCACACACTACTGTCTTTTATGTCTAGGGATTTCCTTTTCACACACTACTGTCTGTGATGTCTAGGGATTTCCTTTTCACACACTACTGCCAATGATCTAATGGGATTTTCTTTTCACACAAAATTCACGGAATGTCCTCTTTATTTGTCACACTTCTGTATGGCATCTTCTTGACTATGTGAAATCCAGGACAGTCTAATGCAAACACATTGGTTTTAAATATGACTTGAGTTTCACAACTGTTCATTATGCCATGTTCAACCTGTGTCTTACGTGTGTCAGCTGTCTCTTTAAGCCCTGTTCAACCGGTGCGATGTTTAACACCAGTCTTGCGTGTGACAGCTGTCTTTCAGAGTCCTGTTTAACTTGTGTGATATTTAACCAGCTTCTCATGTGTGCAACTGTCTACTAATGTTTAACCAGTGTCACATATGTGACAACTGTCTACTAATGTTTAACCAGCTTCTCATATGTGACAACTGTCTACTAATGTTTAACTAGTGTCTCATGTGTGCAACTGTCCACTAATGTTTAACTAGTGTCTCATATGTGACAACTGTCTACTAATGTTTAACCAGCTTCTCATATGTGACAACTGTCTACTAATGTTTAACTAGTGTCTCATGTGTGCAACTGTCTACTAATGTTTAACTAGTGTCTCATATGTGACAACTGTCTACTAATGTTTAACTAGTGTCTCATATGTGACAACTGTCTACTAATGTTTAACTAGTGTCTCATGTGTGCAACTGTCTACTAATGTTTAACCAGCTTCTCATATGTGACAACTGTCTACTAATGTTTAACTAGTGCCACATGTGTGACAATGGTCTACTAATTTAACCAGTGCTACATGTGTGACAATGGTCTACTAATTTAACCAGTGCTACATGTGTGACAATGGTCTACTAATGTTTAACAAGCTTCTCATGTGTGACTACTGTCTACTTATGTTTAACCAATGCCACATGTGTGTAACTGTCTACTAATGTCCCATGCCTTGGGCATTGGCAACAAAGGCCAGCTAAAACACTTACCTTCTGTGCAGGTTTTTCCACACTGGTGCCGTACAGCCGCAGCAGGGAGCCCCAGCTGGGGACATGCGGGTGCAGCTTGGCCAGGATTGCTTGTGCAGCCAGCTGTTTACCTTCTCGTTTGTTTTTGGCCACAACCTGCAGGAAACAGGAAAAGGAGGCAGGCGCGTTATCCCCGGTTGTACTGGCCGATAATCAGAAATCCAGCATTTATTTGTTGCTGTAGAGCTCCCATCATGGGTTCAACAAAGACAAGAGTAAAAGTGGTGTAAAACATTGTTGATCGCAGAAAAAGCGGATAATCTAAATAAAAAAAATCAACAGTGTATGTCTGTGCAACATACCACATTGGCTCTTTCAACACTGTATGATAGAAAAAAAGCAGAAATAAAAATTGCTTGGAAAAAATTCAGGACTGGATCTTCTTCCTCTTGTTCTCTTCCATCTTGTACCTCATCGAAGTGTCGATCAAGTTCTCATAACCTCGTTTAAACTTTGTGTAGGTGAAGGTGTGGTTATCTCTGGTAATTTATTCCAGGAACAAGACAAAGTGTTTTAAGAACAGCTGCCACTGTGTAACACAAGTGTCCATATTCACAAGGTAAGTCATTACACGGCTTACAGTTTCGTACAGTGAAAGAGTTTTAGCACAGCTAGTGCATGTATTGTTGAATTTGCTAAGCTAGTGGTGAACGTTTAAGTACTAAACAATTGTATGATGCTGACGAGACTGTCTTGTTAAGAAGATGAATGCATGCTCACGCACACAGGCATATAAATATATATATATAGACATGAATGCCCTCCACAAACTGAAGCTGTTTCTGTAGCTGACCATGGCAGTGTCCTGCCTGGACAGTCACCCATGTTCTGTTATTCGACTAGGTCTAAGACCATGAAAAGCTTATTGCACCGAAACCCCTCTCCCTTTCCCCGCTGTACAACTCTACCGCAGTCATCCATTCTTCGCTTAATCATTATATTAACTTGAAGCCGTGAACAGGAGAAGATATGTCTATTTATTGGTAAGGCAATAGTTGAAGACACATCACTGTAAGGACACTGAAAACAACATGAATGCACATAATTTTTCTGTCCCGTCCACTAACAAATAATCCCACTTAACATGAAACTCCACACACGCACACTTCACACTTGATGCATGATTAAAATAGTAAAGGGCCCTTCACAGATGAAGCGATAAAAACGATGAGAAACGTCTGTCTGTCCGTTGTATACAATCCTCCTTTAAGCATGTCGCAGGGTGCTGTTATAGAGGTCGGTCATCCTCCCTTCATCTACTGTAGATGTCAGGCCTCCTGTTCAGAAGCCATGTCTCCTTGTTCGTACTTCTGTCTTACAATCATCTCCAGCTTCCCATGTGACGGGACTGGCGGTCAGCTCTCAGCGTTCTCCGCTTGATGCCAACCGATTCCTTCCGGTTGCTCTGGTAATAATCCTCAAGGCCCGAGGATGTCACATGATCTGATTCTAATCATCTCATTGTGTAACTCCAATGGAAAGTTTTTCAGAAATTCCAATGACATCACCTATCACCTGCACTAAACTAATTACTAAACTGTTACTTGATTTTAATCAAATTAATTTGGGCTATGTGACATTCCTAACATATTCCTGCTGGTTTGTGTTTGCCCATGTCTGTGTCTCACTGTAATCGGGGGCCGTTTTATTTGTAAGTTTAATTAAGCAAAGTAATTTGCCAGCTCGATCTAAAACTTCAGTGTGTGGTGGCCTTTGATAAAGCTCTGGTGCTCAGCGTTCACTGGGGAAGGATCGAATCTCTAAAGGGTATCAACTGTGTTCTCTGTGGAGTATTTGCCCCCACAATTTCCACGGGAATAGTCACACTATACTGTTACATGAAAAGACTGTCTTGTTATGAAGATGTGTGTGTGTGTCGATGGAGACAGAGAGAGAGAGAGAGACACACACACACACGTGTACGCGCACACACATACAAGAAAAATTTAAAATCCAACAATTTATCAAACTTTTATCGCTAGAGGAATATTTAAAATCCAACAATTATCAAACTGTTATTACTACAGAAACATTTAAAATCCAACATTCGTCAAACTGTTACCACTATAAGAACATTTAAAATCTAACAATCATCAATCTGTTACCACTATAAGAACATTTAAAATCCAACAATCATCAATCTGTTACCACTATAAGAACATTTAAAATCCAACAATCATCAATCTGTTACCACTATAAGAACATTTAAAATCCAACAATCATCAATCTGTTACCACTATAAGAACATTTAAAATCCAACAATCATCAAACTGTTACCACTATAAGAACATTTAAAATCCAACAATCATCAATCTGTTACCACTATAAGAACATTTAAAATCCAACAATCATCAATCTGTTACCACTATAAGAACATTTAAAATCCAACATTCATTAAACTATTACCACTATATGAACATTTAAAATCCAACATTCATCAAACTGTTACCACTATAAGAACATTTAAAATCCAACATTCATCAAACTCAGCAAAAAATACAGAATTCAATACTAACTTCACTCATGTGTTTAAATCTCAAAACACAAACAGCACACCCACCGTAGCTGAGTGTTAAATCTCCTAACACAAACAGCACACCCACCGTAGCTGAGTGTTAAATCTCCTAACACAAACAGCACACCCACCGTAGCTGAGTGTTAAATCTCCTAACACAAACAGCACACCCACCGTAGCTGAGTGTTAAATCTCCTAACACAAACAGCACACCCACCGTAGCTGAGTGTTAAATCTCCTAACACAAACAGCACACTCACCATAGCTGAGTGTTTCCCAACACAAACAGCACACTCACCATAGCTGAGTGTTTCCCAACACAAACAGCACACTCACCATAGCTGAGTGTTTCCCAACACAAACAGCACACTCACCATAGCTGAGTGTTTCCCAACACAAACAGCACACTCACCATAGCTGAGTGTTTCCCAACACAAACAGCACACTCACCATAGCTGAGTGTTTCCCAACACAAACAGCACACTCACCATAGCTGAGTGTTTCCCAACACAAACAGCACACTCACCATAGCTGAGTGTTTCCCAACACAAACAGCACACTCACCATAGCTGAGTGTTTCCCAACACAAACAGCACACTCACCATAGCTGAGTGTTTCCCAACACAAACAGCACACTCACCATAGCTGAGTGTTTCCCAACACAAACAGCACACTCACCATAGCTAAGTGTTTCCCAACACAAACAGCACACTCACCATAGCTAAGTGTTTCCCAACAAAAACAGCACACTCACCATAGCTAAGTGTTTCCCAACACAAACAGCACACTTACCATAGCTGAGTGTTTCCCAACATTGATGGTGAATTCACATTTCTGATTCTTCAGTGGCTTTGTGCTGACCTCACACTGGGTGTTGCCCATCCCAAAATTTCTGCAAACAAAAAACAAACATGTAGACAGCTAAAGTAGAGTACAATACAGTCACAGGTGGAGACAATCTTTGTGAACAGCCAAAAGGTATCTCCTAGCCCTCTCAGACAATCAGAGGTGGCCATTCATACAGACCTACTTCCTTTCATGCTCTGGAATGTGTGAATTTCTATAGAACAAGACACAAATAGTGTGTTTCCCTCCAGTGGGTTGGATCGCTTGTCTTCTGGAACAAGGGCAGAAACCCTAGGGCAGGACAAAAAACTGTTGGCAGAAAAAGACTGAAAACAGTAGGCAAAATAACTCACGACCCTGAAGGAAGAACAAGTCTCTGCCCTGAAGGAAGAACAAGTCTCTGCCCTGAAGGAAGAACAAGTCTCTGCCCTGAAGGAAGAACAAGTCTCTGCCCTGAAGGAAGAACAAGTCACTGCCCTGAAGGAAGAACAAGTCACGGCCCTGAAGGAAGAACAAGTCTCTGCCCTGAAGGAAGAACAAGTCTCTGCCCTGAAGGAAGAACAAGTCTCTGTCCTAAAGGGAAAACAAGTCACTGCCCTGAAGGAAGAACAAGTCTCTGTCCTAAAAGAAAAACAAGTCTCTGTCCTAAAGGAAAAAACAAGTCACTGCCCTGAAGGAAGAACAAGTCTCTGCCCTGAAGGAAGAACAAGTCTCTGCCCTGAAGGAAGGACAAGTCTCTGCCCTGAAGGAAGAACAAGTCTCTGCCCTGAAGGAAAAACAAGTCTCTGCCCTGAAGGAAAAACGGTCTCTGCCCTGAAGGAAGAACATATCTCTGCCCTGAAGGAAGAAAAGTCGCTGCCTTATAGGAAGAACAAGTCACTGCACTGAAGGAAGAACAAGTCGCTGCCTTAAAGGAAGAATAAGTCTCCGCCCTAAAGGAAGAACACATCTCTGCCCTGAAGGAAGAACAAGTCACTCCATTACAGGAAGAACAAGACACTGCCCTGGAGAAAGAACAAGCCGCTGCCTTAACTTAATAGGAAGAACAAGTCGCTGTCTTATAGGAAGAACAAGTTGCTGCCCTGAAGGGAAAACACGTCACTGCCCTGAAGGAAGAACAAGATACTGCCTTGAAACGAAGAACAAGTCAATGCCCTGGCAAAACTGTAACCACTGAATACTGACAGCACAAACGAACACTGACAGCAGGTTTGATTTTACTGTAGATTCATTTTCATTCTGGCCAAGTTAATGACATTTAAACACTGCACTAGTAATCTCATTATGACTTCTGAGAGAAGACTGAGCATTTATAAGACAAATAATTAGTGCTACGATGAACAAGACAATCCAGATACAATTGTTCACAAATGTGCATGTTGTAAGATGGTAACTTGGTGCGTAGACTGTTGTCACATGGCAAGTGATTGCACAACTGCTGCACTCTCTAGGGACGTGTCTCTACTGGTCTTTGTTGTTTCTTTGAATCTACTTGTTTGTTCAGTATGTGTGGAGGTGGGTGTGACTGAGTATGAGTGGAGGTTCAGTATGTGTGGAAAGATACAAAACCAAACAAAAAGTAGAATCAGTGAGCTTCACAGTACAACAAACACAAACGAAACACAGAGCCTTTATCAGCACATACAGAAACAAAATCACAAAAATACACAAAAAGACCTAACTGACGTATCTCGAAGCAGCCACATTGATGTCTTGCCAGTGTAATGAAAAGGCACATGCAGCCCAGGAATAACAAGCCTAAAAATGCCAAGGGTCATAACTCGAAGATATTAGACGAAACTGTGTTGACAGTTCAGTCCCTTATGTGTTTATGGACCCAAGGTGTAAATGAAGCAATTCTCAAGAGACTTGCGAACTGTCGTTGGAGTGGCTAGATGTAATAAGCGTCATCTTCATGTCGTGGACACTTTGGTGATACTGAGAATCTTAAGTGCAATCGTACTGGTTTCATGGCATCATTCTGCACATTCAAAAGAATGGATCTGAGTAGGTGTGGAGTGACACACATGCAAGCATCTGCTGACAGATGATACACAGGAATATGTGTGTGGCTGTCTCAGGACAGTTGAACAAGCAGCTTCTGACAAACGATACACTGGAGTGTGTGTGGCTGTCTCAGGACATTTGAACAAGCAGCAGCTGACAGACGATACACTGGAGTTTTTGTGGCTGTCCCAGGACAGTTGAACAAACAGCAGCTGACAGACGATACATTAGAGTGTGTGTGGCTGTCCCAGGACAGTTGAACAAGCAACAGCTGACAGATACATAAGAGTTTTTGTGGCTGTCCTAGGACAGCTGAACAAGCAACAGCTGACAGATACATAAGAGTTTTTGTGGCTGTCCCAGGACAGTTGAACAAACAGCAGCTGACAGACGATACATTGGAGTGTGTGTGGCTGTCGCAGGATAGTTCAACAAGCAGCAGCTGACAGATACATTGGAGTGTGTATGGCTGTCCCAGGATAGTTGAACAAGCAGCAGCTGTGAGACGATACATTTTGAACAAAAACCACAAATCAAGACAGGCATCTCTCACCTTCTCAGGCATTCAAGCAAGAGCTGGAAGGGACTAGGCTGCCCTACTTTGTTGCCAAGCTCATTGACTCTGGGATCAGTGACTTTAATGTCATCAAAGAACTAGGAAAAAGCAATGACCACTATTTAACAAAATGCTACAGTGCATTTAAAAATTGATAATTTCTCTGTAATTATTTATCACAAGAATGTTATTTCTTGCATGGGTTCTTATTTTTATCTTGACGTTAATGTTTTATGCATAAATAATTGTTGGATGGGCCAGTTGTATCAAAACAGATGTTTTCCTTATTATAATCACTTGAATAATTTTAGTTAGGTGACAACACTAATTTTACAGTACTGACATGAATTACCCTAAAGCTAACCACAGAGGTTAAGGCTTTTACAACTTGTCACAAGTCTTGGAAATGATCCAATACACTCATTTTACAGCTGTTGTGATACTTTCAGTGCTACAGTTGTGCTCTTACGCAGAATTTACGTAAAACACAAGAAACTAATGTTTTGTGATAGATAAACTGGTTACATTTTAACTTTGTGCTGTTTAACTCCTATACAGCAATCCAGCAAGCATCGTCTTTTTTATATATACCTCAAACAAGCAAAAAATGCATTCAAATAATCTGTTTGTTATGCAGGATAAAATTTAACATAATGATGATAATGAAATAATTATCAATATATAATTTTATCCATTTATATTCCACTACAGCTGAGATACAGACAAGACCACATGTTAACAAAATGCTAACAGTTAACCTTAAAGTTTTTATCAATAGAGACAAGACCAGATGTTAACAAAATACTAACAATTAGCGAGTGGTTTTTATCCATACAGACATAACATGTTAACAGTTAACTAGTCATTTTATCCGTACAGACAAAACATCCACGTTAACAAAATGCTAACGGTTAACTAGAGGTTTTATCCATACAGGCAAGACCACATGTTAACAAAATGCTAACAGTTAACTAGTGATTTTATCCATACAGACAACACATTTATTTGTTAACAAAGTACTAACAGTTAAAAAGTGTTTTTACATTTACAGAAAATACATCCACATGTTAACAAAGTGCTAACAGTTAACTAGTGTTTTTTTACATACAGACAATACATCCACATGTTAATAAAATGCTAACAGTTCACTAGTGTTTTTATATGTACAGACAAGACCACAAGTTAACAAAAATGCTAACAGTTAACTAGTGCTTTTGTACATATAAACATTACATCTGATCTGAGTGAGCTACCTACATCCTCTACCAATGTCTGATCAGTCTGATCTACTTTCACTTATCTTCTTCTTCTTTTTCTTATCATTTGCCCAAGTGATGTAATTAAATTGTGCCTGTTTACAGCAAGCTGGGATATCTGTGCAATTCAGCCAAAAAATCCAATTTTACTAACCATTTGTTCACCGGTTAGCTTTCTCGTTTGGTTTCATGGGATATGATTTTGTTTGGCTTCTTCTCTGTCCCTTTACAGGTGTCTGGTCAGCCATTAGGGGAAGGCAAAAGCAGAACATGGGCACTCCCGGCCCTCCAAGCAGGCTTCCATAAATGCACAGCCGACACATGACGCTCTGGTCGTGAGCTCAAACAAGGAATCCTCATATCCTGCCTATGACCGCTTAACCTCACATCCGTATGCTGAACTTCCCACTTGTCACAGGCTGCGCACATTGGAGATCATTAGAAAGCCGCCAGCAGATCCAGAACTTCAACAACTTCTTCTTCTTCTTCTTCGTGTTCACCAGCTGTAAACTCTGGTGCAAAGTTCTGGTTGTTCGTCCATTTCTGGACTGCAGTCCTGTTCCAGAACCTGAGTGTTACGTGTGCATTCGTTTGACAGACCTGACACATTTTTGTGCAGACTGTTGGTTCCTTGCCATTCAGGCAGATGCACTCCGATTGCAAAGGAAGCTACCAATTAGTCGACCCTTACAACATGCTCTTGGGTAAGCAGTGGGTTTTTTCTTGTTTTCCCTATAACAGGGCCCCAGAACCCACACGGGGGCCTACATATATGATTCACTTCACATTGTGTCTACAAGGAACACATATGATTCACTTTACCCTCTGTCTACTTTAACAACTATACAAACAGGAACATTCTTCTTCAGCAGGTTAGACAACTTCAATGTTGTTTTATCTGGAAACTTAGCACGACAGAAGGGAAAAAGCATGCTTAGGGCATGGCTTTCCTTGTCTGGTCCAGACTCAGGTGAATGGGGCCAACGGTAGCGGAAATCTGAGCCTGTCTGTTAAACAGGAGGACTTTTGATGGTCGGATTTCCCGTGTGGGTACCGGGGCCCTGTTATAAGGAAAACAAGAATTGACCCACTGCCTACCCAAAAGCATGTCAATAAGAGTCGACTAACTGGGAGCTTCCTTCGAAGTCAGAGTGCATCTGCCTGAAAGGCAAGGAACCAACAGTCTGCATACAAATTAGTGAGATCTGTCAAACAGATGCACACGCAACACTCAAATCCTGGAACAGGACTGCAGTCCTGAATTGGACGAACAACCAGAACTTTCTGCCAGAGTTTACAGCTGGTGAACACGAAGAAGAAGAAGATGGTCGGATATTTTAAGACTGCTGTTCCGCAGTAGGACATCTGACTCACGAATATTAGCCTAATTAGTTGACTGACAATGGTGAATTCTCATTGTTTACCTCAAGACGATAACGACAACATTCAGAGTTGACAAAGGATGTATGGAGACGGGAACTTTACCTTTAGATATTGCCTACAGGAGATGTTGTTCATCTGAGCTGCGAACAAATCTCTTGGTCCAGGGTCGAGTCTCAGCAGTTCCAACATTCTTTCATGTGCAGATGTTTGAACCACGGTTTGTTATATAGGAGGAAGGTTGGCCAGTGGGCTTCACTCGTGTTCCAAAAGAGTTATCAATAGACGTTCTCATCCAACCTACCAATGGCTGATCTGAGTTATCTACTTACATCTACTCATGTTTAATCTGTGTAATCTGCTTACATATATCCATCTTTTGTGTGTTTCACTTCCACAAAAACTGACTAGACATATAAATGCACTAGCATATTTTATTGTACTCACTGATAGGTCAGAAATATTGGTCTTGATTTCTTGGTCAGATATTTTCTTGAACAGGTCAGGAATGAGAACTCTGAGTGTCTCTTTGGCTGAAAAATATATTCAAAAGTGTGTGCAGGTTGACCAAGTCAGTTGTTCCCACCCTAATCCCCAAGGTACAAGGTCGTGTCAGTAACATATCTATCATTGTTTATCCCTACTTATAGGACAGCTGACATATCTATGATAGTTTATCCCCACTTATAGGTTAGCAGACAATAACATATCTATGACAGTTTATCCTCACTCATAGGACAGCTGACAATAACATATCTATGACAGTTTATCCCCACTCATAGGACAGCTGACAATAACATATCTATGACAGTTTATCCCCACTCATAGGACAGCTGACAATAACATATCTATGACAGTTTATCCTCACTCATAAGACAGGTGACAATAACATATCTATCACAGTTTATCCCCACTCATAAGACAGCTGACAATAACATATCTATGACAGTTTATCCTCACTCATAGGACAGCTGACAATAACATATCTATGATAGTTTATCCCCACTTATAGGTTAGCAGACAATAACATATCTATGATATTTTATACACACTTATAGGACAGCAGACAGTGACATATCATAGTTTACCCCCACTCACATGATAGCTGACAATGACATATCTATGCATAATTTATCCCCACTAACAGGACAGCTGACAATGACATATCTATGCATAGTTTACCCCCACTCACAGGACAGCAGACAATGACATATCTATGCATAATTTACCCCCCACTCACATGACAGCTGACAATGACATATCTATGCATAGTTTACCCCCACTCACAGGACAGCAGACAATGACATACCTATGCATAATTTACCTCCAATAAAATGATAGCTGACAATGACATATCTATGCATAATTTACCCCCACTCACATGACAGCTGACAATGACATATCTATGCATAGTCTACCCCCACTCACAGGACAGCAGACAATGACATATCTATGCATAGTTTACCCCCACTCACAGGACAGCAGACAATGACATATCTATGCATAGTTTACCCCCCACTCACAGGACAGCAGACAATGACATATCTATGCATAGTTTACCCCCACTCACAGGACAGCAGACAATGACATATCTATGCATAGTTTACCCCCACTAACAGGACAGCAGACAGTGACATATCATAGTTTACCCCCACTCACATGATAGCTGACAATGACATATCTATGCATAATTTACCCCCACTAACAGGACAGCAGACAATGACATATCTATGCATAATTTACCCCCACTAACAGGACAGCAGACAATGACATATCTATGCATAGTTTACCCCCACTCATATGACAGCAGACAATGACATATCTATGCATAGTTTACCCCCACTCACAGGACAGCTGACAATGACATATCTATGCATAGTTTACCCCCACTCACATGACAGCTGACAATGACATATCTATGCATAATTTACCCCCCACTCACATGACAGCTGACAATGACATATCTATGCATAGTTTACCCCCACTCACAGGACAGCAGACAATGACATACCTATGCATAATTTACCCCCAATAAAATGATAGCTGACAATGACATATCTATGCATAATTTACCCCCCACTCACATGACAGCTGACAATGACATATCTATGCATAATTTACCCCCCACTCACATGACAGCTGACAATGTCATATCAATGCATAATTTACCCCCCACTCACATGACAGCAGACAATGACATATCTATGCATAATTTACCCCCCACTCACATGACAGCAGACAATGACATATCTATGCATAATTTACCCCCCACTCACATGACAGCAGACAATGACATATCTATGCATAATTTACCCCCCACTCACATGACAGCTGACAATGACATATCTATGCATAGTTTACTCCCACTCACAGGACAGCAGACAATGACATATCTATGCATAATTTACCCCCACTCACAGGACAGCTGACAATGACATATCTATGCATAGTCTACCCCCACTCACAGGACAGCAGACAATGACATATATATGCATAGTTTACCCCCACTCACAGGACAGCAGACAATGACATATCTATGCATAGTTTACCCCCACTCACATGACAGCTGACAATGACATATCTATGCATAGTTTACCCCCACTCACAGGACAGCAGACAATGACATATCTATGCATAGTTTACCCCCACTCACATGACAGCTGACAATGACATATCTATGCATAGTTTACCCCCACTCACAGGACAGCAGACAATGACATATCTATGCATAGTTTACCCCCACTCACAGGACAGCAGACAATGACATATCTATGCATAGTTTACCCCCACTCACATGACAGCTGACAATGACATATCTATGCATAGTTTACCCCCACTCATATGACAGCTGACAATGACATATCTATGCATAGTTTACCCCCACTCACAGGACAGCAGACAATGACATATCTATGCATAATTTACCCCCACTCACAGGACAGCTGACAATGACATATCCTTTTAGAAAAAAAAATATATATATATCTATAACAACAACCTACACAGAATAAAACAACTACTCAGAACTAAAATAACCACCCACACAGAACTAAAATAACCACCCACACAGAACTAAAATGTTATCTTCATGTTCAGCAGCTGTAAACACCAGTTGAAAGTTCTGGTTGCTCATCACTTCTGAAACCTGAGTGTTTGCATGCACATCTGTTTTACAGATCTGGCTTGTTTGTATGCAGACTCTCATTCAGAAGCACTTTGACTTCAAAGGAAACGCCGCTAATTACCCATCTCAAACAGAACTGAAGCAATCCATGAAAAACTAAAACCACCACCCTTATGGAACTAAAGCAACCACTCATGCAGAACCAAAGCAATCCACATACCTGCCTCCTGTTTTGCCACTTTCTTGGAAGAGGCATATCCGGTGCCGTACTCAATGTTGCTGATTGTCACTGTAGCCCCATATGGAGTTTTAGAGTTTTCTAGTTGACAAGGGCAGACAACAATTTATCAGAGGGGCAACTCCAAAAGGGAACATTTAAATGTCATGGGATTCACTACAATTACCTACGTGCTAGCAGAGAGAACATTTAAATGTCATGAGATTCACTACAATTACCTATGTGCTAGCAGACAACATTTAAATGTCATGGGATTCACTACAATTACCTACGTGCTAGCAGACAGAACATTTAAATGTCATGAGATTCACTACAACTACCTACGTGCTAGCAGACAACATTTAAATGTCATGGGATTCACTACAATTACCTACGTGCTAGCAGACAGAACATTTAAATGTCATGGGATTCACTACAATTACCTACGTGCTAGCAGAGAGAACATTTAAATGTCATGGATCACTTCAATTACCTACGTGCTAGCAGACAGAACATTTAAATGTCATGGGATTCACTACAATTACCTACGTGCTAGCAGACAAAACATTTAAATGTCATGGGATTCACTACAAGTACCTACGTGCTAGCAGACAGAACATTTAAATGTCATGGGATTCACTACAATTACCTACGTGCTAGCAGACAAAACATTTAAATGTCATGGGATTCACTACAACTACCTACGTGCTAGCAGACAACATTAAAATGTCATGGGATTCACTACAATTACCTACGTGCTAGCAGACAGAACATTTAAATGTCATGGGATTCACTACAAGTACCTACGTGCTAGCAGACAGAACATTTAAATGTCATGGGATTCACTACAATTACCTACGTGCTAGCAGACAGAACATTTAAATGTCATGGGATTCACTACAACTACCTACGTGCTAGCAGACAGAACATTTAAATGTCATGGGATTCACTACAACTACCTACGTGCTAGCAGACAGAATCAGTAACTTCAATAAGGATGATGATGCTGACTGCAATGGTAATCTTGCTGATTACCAAAATCAATGAAAAATATTTGAGGTTAAATGTATGTTCTGAGTCACCAGTGAATATATTGTCATGTCATATTGGACCAGTCAACCAACATACAGTGTCATGTCACATTGGACCAGGCAACCAACATACAGTGTCATGTCATACTGGACCAGTCAACATACAGTGTCATGTCATACTGGACCAGTCAACATACAGTGTCATGTCATAGAACACAGAGAATATACCCAGCACATAGAACACAGAGAATATACCCAGCTCATAGAACACAGAGAATATACCCAGCACATAGAACACAGACAATATACCTAGCACATAAAACACAGACAATATACCCAGCACATAGAACACAGAGAATATACCCAGCACATAGAACACAGAGAATATACCCAGCTCATAGAACACAGACAATATACCCAGCACATAGAACACAGAGAATATACCCAGCTCATAGAACACAGAGAATATACCCAGCTCATAAAACAGAGAGAATATACCCAGCTCATAGAACACAAGACAATATCCCCAGCACATAGAACACAGAAAATATACCCAGCTCATAAAACACAGAGAATATACCCAGCACATAGAACACAGACAATATACCCAGCTCATAGAACAGAGAGAATATACCCAGCTCATAGAACAGAGAGAATACACCCAGTTCTTAGAATACAGAGAATAAACCCAGCTCACACAACACACAGAATATACCTAGCACACAGAACTTACCCAGCGCCTAGAACATGGAGAATTTACCTAATTTCTAGAACAAAGAGAACTTACCCAGCTCCTTAAACACGTACAATGGCTGTATCTTGAGTGTGCGCTGCATGTACTCATGAAGGATACACAGATACGACTTGCCAGTTGGGTTCAGGATAAATTCTGTAATTTTTCAACAAAAATAAATATTATCCGTGTCATCATGTCTGCTAAATCAATCAGGAAACCCCCAGCCCCAGATGACTATTTTATTATGGAAAGATCAAAATAAGTAATTATCCTCCGCCTCAGAACAGGGCACAACTGATTACGTAACCACATGTACACAAAATCCAAGATAGGCGTGTATCAGCCATGTGCACCTGTGGAAAAGTGCCCAAGACAGCAGAGCACGTACTCCAGGACTGCACCGAATTTGACACACTGAGGCAAACCTTTAGGTCAGAAAGAACAACAGTGGAACGTAAACCCTATGGACCACTGAATGAACTAACAACGACAGTGAAATTTATACAAAAGACAAAATTGCTGATATAGACAACTTATTTAAGGCGAACAAAAGAATAACAAGAAGAAGATCATGTCTGGTGAGCTAGCTCAATGCTGTACAGCACAACAGTTGTCTATAACTGGCGCACAACTATGTCTGATGCGCCAGAACCACTCTATACTTGAGTCAAGAATTGACATTACAGCACTCGGGGCATTCCCATGGATGCTCCGTCCTCATTTTCAGCAGCCAGCGTAGAGTTCCAATACTGATGGTACCAATCACAATCTGGTTAAATGCCTGTCTTGCCTGTCCTCTGAGTGTAGTCAGCCGGCCAGACCCTCTGGTTACACCCAAGTGCCTCATTCTCTCCAGGCCATAATAATCTTCTTTCTCTACTGATTCCATTGCTTGTTCCCAAAGGGCCTTGACCACATCTGCCCTGTCATGTATCAAAATCTACACTTGAGATACAGTTACGGCCATGTTTTCCACACAGCCTAAGTAGAAGTAAAATGCAAGTTCATACAAATAAGGGCATGGATCAGCAGATGATAATGAGAGATGGCCAACAACTGGCAGACAGTAATCACAGAGATACCTCAACAAGTAACCAGTCTTCTATCAATGGTTTTCTTTGACTATCTTATCTGAAGGTATCCACCTTTTGGTTGGGTGTGTGTGCAAACACACACCTGGAGAATCTATATATATATATATATATATATATATATATATATATATATATATATATATATATATATATATATATATATATATATATATATATATATATATATATATATATATATATATATATATATATATATATATATATACACACACACTCACACACTGCCAGAAATGATCTCCCTTCAAACAATTCTCTATATATGAGTAAGTCACAAACGGTTATTTAAAAAAAAAAAAAATAAAGACAATCAAAACCATTTATTTTTACACATACACTGCCACTTTATTTCTCAACACAATTTCACCAACATTGATGCATTTGTCCCATCGTTTTTATCAGTCAACCCAAACCTGCTGCATAGAAATGCGTGCTCTGTTTTCTGAACCATATTTTCACTGCACATTCAATTTCTGAGTCATTAGCGAAATGTTTCCCGCCAAGGTGGGTTTTCAGTGGGCCAAAAAGGTGGAAATGGCTAGGGGCTAATTTAGGGTTGTAAGGTGGATATTCCAGAAGTTCCCACCTAAGATGGTTAATTGTCTCCTGAGTTAACCGAGCTGTATGTGGTCTGGTATTGTCATGAAGGAGCAGTAGTACTCTAATCAGCAGACCTGGATGTTTTCTTTAAACTGCATCAGGAAGCATTGATAGAACTGAACAGTATGAATCAGCATTCACACCATCAACTCTTTTTTTTTTGAAAATTAGTTAAAAGCACTCCAGAACACTGTCAGCATAACCTCCCCTTACTGATGGCGTAACCTTACATTTTTGAACACAAGGCGAAGAAGGATGTTTCCATTGCAATGAAGCACACTTTGATTCGGGCTGGTAGTGATGCACCCATGATTCATCCCCAGTAATAATCCTTTTCAGCATGTCTTGTCCTTCATCCGTGTATCGACATAGATGCTACAAGGTCAAGCCTAATCGGTTAATTTTGTGTTCGTCAATTGTCTGGGTACCCACCTTGAGCACACTTTCTCAAATTTCAATTGATCATGCAATATGTTGTATGCTGAACCATGTGAGCACCCTATTGCAGCTGCTACAGACCCAACCATTACTCGCCTGTCACCTCTAATCATCTCCTCCACCCGCTGCAGGAATGCGTCTGTTGCAATCTCAATCTCAGCTTAATAATTTTTTTTACCCAGCTATGCACCGCTATACAGGATAAATATTTGTCAGCAGAAACAGGAAGCATTTCCTTAAAAATGTCCTTTAAAGGCAACCTCCCCCCCCCCCCCAAAAAAAAAACACAAGTTGTTCTTTGAGGGTACACTTCGTTAGTATAGTCGCCGTTTTGTTTCTGTGTTGCAAATGTGCATGCAACTCCTAGCGCTACCTAACAAACAGATACATTCAGTTCAATGTTGCTGTCAATTAATGACACCTTTAGAAACCACCAACTACATTTACTGCCACCCCATTACCATTTGTGACTGACTTATTGACTTCCCCTTGTATCAGCCTACTGATCCCACTTCTTGCCACCAACCACCAAATCCTCAAATCTCAAACTAAAACACTTCCCTCTCTTCTGACCAATCTCTCAATTCTCTCACTATAGTGCTTCCCTCTCTTCTTGTGATGCTCCCCCATATCCTCACATCTCAGACTAAAGTACTCCGCCTCTCTTCTTGTTAATCTCTCCCCCATTTTCACATCTCATTCTAAAGTAATCCGCCTCTCTTCTTGTTAATCTCTCCCCCATCCTCACATCTCATTCTAAAGTACTCCGCCTCTCTTCTTGTTAATCTCTCCCCCATCCTCACATCTCATTCTAAAGTACTCTGCCTCTCTTCTTGTTAATCTCTTCCCCATCCTCACATCTCATTCTAAAGTACTCTGCCTCTCTTCTTGTGATGCTCCCCCCATATCCTCACATCTCATTCTAAAGTACTCCGCCTCTCTTCTTGTTAATCTCTTCCCCATCCTCACATCTCATACTAAAGTACTCTGCCTCTCTTCTTGTTAATCTCTTCCCCATCCTCACATCTCATTCTAAAGTACTCTGCCTCTCTTCTTGTGATGCTCCCCCCATCTCATTCTAAAGTACTCCGCCTCTCTTCTTGTTAATCTCTTCCCCATCCTCACATCTCATTCTGAAGTACTCCGACTCTCTTCTTGTAATGCTCCCCCCATATCCTCACATCTCATTCTAAAGTACTCCGCCTCTCTTCTTGTTAATCTCTCCCCCATCCTCACATCTCATTCTAAAGTACTCCACCTCTCTTCTTGTTAATCTCTCCCCCATCCTCACATCTCATTCTAAAGTACTCCGCCTCTCTTCTTGTTAATCTCTTTCCCTTTCCTCACATCTCATTCTAACGTACTCCGCCTCTCTTCTTGTTAATCTCTTCCCCTTTCCTCACATCTCATACTAAAGTACTCCGCCTCTCTTCTTGTTAATCTCTTCCCTATCCTCACATCTCATTCTAAAGTACTCCGCCTCTCTTCTTGTAATGCTCCCCCCATATCCTCACATCTCATTCTAAAGTACTCCGCCTCTCTTCTTGTTAATCTCTTCCCCATCCTCACATCTCATTCTAAAGTACTCCACCTCTCTTCTTGTTAATCTCTCCCCCATCCTCACATCTCATTCTAAAGTACTCCGCCTCTCTTCTTGTTAATCTCTTCCCCTTTCCTCACATCTCATTCTAAAGTACTCCGCCTCTCTTCTTGTTAATCTCTTCCCCTTTCCTCACATCTCATTCTAAAGTACTCCGCCTCTCTTCTTGTTAATCTCTTCCCCATCCTCACATCTCATTCTAAAGTACTCTGCCTCTCTTCTTGTGATGCTCCCCCCATATCCTCACATCTCATTCTAAAGTACTCCGCCTCTCTTCTTGTTAATCTCTTCCCCATCCTCACATCTCATTCTGAAGTACTCCGCCTCTCTTCTTGTGATGCTCCCCCCATATCCTCACATCTCATTCTAAAGTACTCCGCCTCTCTTCTTGTTAATCTCTCCCCCATCCTCACATCTCATTCTAAAGTACTCCACCTCTCTTCTTGTTAATCTCTCCCCCATCCTCACATCTCATTCTAAAGTACTCCGCCTCTCTTCTTGTTAATCTCTTCCCCTTTCCTCACATCTCATTCTAAAGTACTCCGCCTCTCTTCTTATTAATCTCTTCCCCTTTCCTCACATCTCATACTAAAGTACTCCGCCTCTCTTCTTGTTAATCTCTTCCCCATCCTCACATCTCATTCTAAAGTACTCCGCCTCTCTTCTTGTTAATCTCTCCCCCATCCTCACATCTCATTCTAAAGTACTCCGCTTCTCTTCTTGTTAATCTCTTCCCCATCCTCACATCTCATTCTAAAGTACTCAGCCTCTCTTCTTGTTAATCCCTTCCCCTTTCCTCACATCTCATACTTAAGTACTCCGCCTCTCTTCTTGTTAATCTCTCCCCCATCCTCACATCTCATACTAAATTACTCCGCCTCTCTTCTTGTTAATCTCTCTCCCATCCTCACATCTCAGACTAAAGTACTCATTTCTCTTCTTGCCATTCTCTCCCCCATCCTCACATCTCATACTAAGGTACTCCACCTCTCTTCTTGTTAATCTCTCCTCCATCCTCACATCTCAGACTAAAGAACTCACCTCTCTTCTTGCCATTCTCTCCCCCATCCTCACATCTCAGACTAAAGAACTCACCTCTCTTCTTGCCATTCTCTCCCCCATCCTCACATCTCAGACTAAAGAACTCACCTCTCTTCTTGCCATTCTCTCCCCCATCCTCACATCTCAAGTTGCCTGGGATAGGGCATGTGATGAGCTTTGTCGAGGGGGGCTGCAACAAGTTAGTTTTAAAAAACCAGGCTATAAATGTAAGCTTTAGCCAGGATAACAAGAATATGGATGTAAGCTTTAACTACAGAAAACCAGGATAACAAGGATGTGGGTGCAATTTGACTATAGAAAAACCGGATAAAAAGAATGTAGGCAAAAGTTTCACTAAAGAAAACCAGGATAACAAGAATGTGAGTGTAAGTTTGACAAAGAATAAACCAGGATAACAAGGATTTGGGTGTAAGGTTGACTGCAGATAACCAGGATGTGGATGTAAGCTTAAACGACAGAAAACCAGAATAACAAGGATGTGGATGTGAGCTTTAACTACAGAAAACCAGAATAACAAACAAGGATGAGGATGTAAGGTTTGACTACAGAAAAAGTAACAATGTACAGGAATTTTACAGGCAGGCAGGTTCAGTGCGAAGACAATGGCCTGAATCATTGCAGAAGTCCACTGTGCATGGCGTCACCTTTATTTTTGTTCCGGGACACGCAGGCGTCGATGGAAATGAAAGAGCTGACAGGTTGGCTGGATCCGCTATCACTACCGACGGTCAGCCTATGGATCACGCTGATATTATCAATGCCCTCAGAGAAATGGGAAGGATAGAGGACTTTGGTGGCAGTGAATCCACATCACTCGCCAGAATGGCAGGCTTGGGAATTAAGATCGGAACAGCAAAAAACGAGACGCACATCAGACACGTCAGAAGACTTGTTAATCAACATAGAACTAGTACTATTAGCCATCGGACGTTGGGGTTCATACTGAGGGGAGGTTCTGAGCACCTATGGACATGTCCAGAGTGCAATGATGATAACCCAGCTAACTAACTAACTAGGAATTTATATGACTGGCTGACTGAGGCAACAACCAGCCTTTGTTGTTTCTTTTCTCTACAGAAAGGACAAACATCACTTCGGGAAAACATTTTAACAAACACACTCAGTCATCATCATCAAGTGCCATGCCAAGAAGTGGAAATGATCTGTTCTAGATTAAAAATAAATGAGACTTGACAAACACTGATGAAGTTGACAGTGACCTGACAAACATTTGTGAATGTACAGCTAACCTGTGACCTGACAAACATTTGTGAATGTACAGCTAACCTGTGACCTGTCAAACATTTGTGAATGTACAGCTAACCTGTGACCTGACAAACATTTGTGAATGTACAGCTAACCTGTGACCTGTCAAACATTTGTGAATGTACAGCTAACCTGTGACCTGACAAACATTTGTGAATGTACAGCTTACATGAGACTTGACAAAGACTGGTAAATATACAGTTAACTGAGACTTGACAAAGACTGGTAAATATACAGTTAACTGAGACTTGACAAAGACTGGTAAATATACAGTTAACTGAGACTTGACAAAGACTGGTAAATATACAGTTAACTGAGACTTGACAAAGACTGGTAAATATACAGTTAACTGAGACTTGACAAAGACTGGTAAATATACAGTTAACTGAGACTTGACAAACACTGGTAAATATACAGTTAACCGAGACTAGACAAACACTGGTAAATATACAGTTAACCAATACTTGACAAACACTGGTAAATATACAGTTAACCAATACTTGACAAACACTGGTAAATATACAGTTAACCACTACTTGACAAACACTGGTAAATATACAGTTAACCAATACTTGACAAACACTGGTAAATATACAGTTAACCAATACTTGACAAACACTGGTAAATATACAGTTAACCAATACTTGACAAACACTGGTAAATATACACTCAGACTTGACAAACACCTGGAAAGAAGGAAGGCGATGACGGACACAAAAACCTGGAAAGAATGATGGCGATGATGAACACAAAAACATGGCAAGAAATGAAAATGAGGCAAGGCAACTGGTGGCAGACTGAACATGACATTCTGCTGGGCTATAGCATTCAGTGATTGTCTGTGTGTAAACTACACAGACTTCTGTTCAAAGCCGCTTGTATCTGTGGCTAAAATCATTATAATCTCTCTATCCTTTTATTGTACTTCTTCTTCTTCTTCTTGGTCTTGTTCCAGAACTTGAGTTTTGTGTGCAAACCCATTTGACTTCTTCTTCTTTGCATTCACCAGCTGTAAACTCTGATGGAAAGTTCTGGATGTTCATCCACTTCTGAACTGCAGTCCTGTACCAGAACCATTTGTGTGCAGACTGTTGGTTCCTTGCCTCTCAGGCAGATGCACTCCGACTTCAAAGGAAGCTCCCAATTAGTCAACTCTTATGACATGCTTTTGGGTAGGCAATGGGTCTATTCTTGTTTTCCCTATAAAAGAGCCTCGGAGCCCACGCGAGGGTAATCCGTTTGACTAGTCTGGCTCTTCTGTATGCAGACTTTCAGTTCCTGACCTCTCAACCAGGAGCACCACTGGGACTTTGCACCCCTCAATTAGTTATCTTTTACAACGTACTTGTTAGAAGGGGCAGTAAGTCTATTCTGTTTCTCCTCAAACTAGGGCCGCAGAACCTACACAGGGAGATACTGGACCACTTTGGGTCTTATCATCATCTCTCTACCCATCCTGACAGTGTTCTCCATTATTTCGCTATTATCATTATATCTCTAACCATTCTGACAACACTTTCCATTATTTAGTTGTTATCATACCTCTAACCATTCTGACAGTGCTCTCCATTATATGGCTGTTATCATATCTCTAATTATTCTGGCAGTGCTCTCCGTTATTTGGTTGTTATCATCATATCTCTAACCATTCTGACAGTGCTCTCCATTATATGGCTGTTGTCATCATATCTTTAACTGTGTGGTCAAAATGGACGCTAGGCACGGCCACTGTTTTCAGCAATGGCAAATTTTTATGCTTCTGCCAGACGGTGACCATTGCATTTGTAGACTGAAAGGATAAAGTTTCGTTGCCCAGCTTCTGAGTTGAGTGCATGGTGTGACACTGAGCTGCGGATTTCGTTTGGAATGTTTTTCGACCGTGACCAACGTGGTGGTGTGAATTGTAGATTCAGAACATGGTGCCATGCCGGTTGTCGCAATATTGGTGGTGCCCTTATGTGATTAAAATTGATCGCGTGTGCATCTGCTGATCTGTTGGTGACTTCTGCTAGTGCTACCATCCATGATGAACTGCATTTCTCATGTCGGACTGTTTGTGTTAGCACTTTGGATGGCTACCGTATGCTTTAATGTGTGTGTATGCTAATGCATATGCTAGACAGCAGTCTGTCAATCTTTCCACAAGGAATTGTGATAAACATTCTGTGTGTTTTTCATTGGCAGAGGAGCGCAGCAACTATGGGGCGACCCCTTTGCTATGAAGCTGAAATTAAGATTACCTGATTACCAGATATCTCTAACCATTCTGACAGCGCTCTCCATATATGGCTGTTATCATCATATCTCTATCCATTCCAACAGTGCTCTCCATATATGGCTGTTATCATCATATCTCCAATCATTTTTGCAGTGCTCTCTATTATATGGCTTTTTCATCATATCTCTAATCATTTTTGCAGTGCCCTCTATTATATGGCTTTTTCATCATATCTCTAATCATTTTTGCAGTGCTCTCCATTATATGGCTGTTATCATCATATCTCTATCCATTCTCACAGTGCCTGTCATTATATGGTTGTTATTAAAAATGTGTTTGAAATAGCCAGGTAATATGACAAGTGCATACCAGTTCTGGGCGGTTCCGTCTACTCCTCTCTTCTATATGTCGCCGTCTTTCACGCCAAGATCTGTGTAGAGAAGAATGTTCAACATTTGCAAGTTTGGATTAGTTCTCATTCAATACTGAAACCTGACTGCTTCAGAAAATCACACACCAAATGGCCTGAAATAACATATCAAACTACCCAATCACACACCAAATGGCCTGAAATAATGCATTCAACTACCCAATCACACACCAAATGGCCTGAAATAATGCATCAAACTACCCAATCACACATCAAATGACCTGAAATAACGCATTCAACTACCCAATCACACACCAAATGGCCTGAAATAATGCATCAAACTACCCAATCAAACATCAAATGGACTGAAATAATGCATTCAACTACCCAATCACACACCAAAGGGCCTGAAATAACGCATTCAACTACCCAATCACACACCAAATGGCCTGAAAAAACGCATCAAACTGCCTAGTCAAACATCAAATGGCCTGAAATAACGCATTCAACTACCCAATAACACACCAAATGGCCTGAAATAATGCATCAAACTGCCCTGTCACACACCAAAAAACCTGAAATAACGTATCAAACTACCCAATCACACACCAAATGGCCTGAAATAACGCATCAAACGACCCAATCACACAACAAATGGCCTGGAATAACACATCAAACTGCCTGATCACACATCTGATCTTTCACTAAACTTGAGCAGATTTTCACTCAACATTGGAAAGACATTCTCTTGCCAAACTAGACCAGGACATTCTGTCGCCAACCCTTACCAGACATTCTCTCAACAAGAGCTCACCTGTATTTTTTTACCTCCAGTGTTCTGAACTGAAACAGTTGGGAACAATAACTGTGAACAGTATGACTGTCTGAAATATACAAACATAGAACTGTATGAAATACTGAATACATAACACTGAAACACTGAGCACAGAACTGTCTCAGATATATACAATAAAAGAATAGTCTGACTGTCTGAAATATACAATCATAGAATAGTCTGACCACCTGAAATATAAAATGACAGAACAGTCTGAATGTCCAAAAATACAACAGAAAAGAATGGTCTGATTGTCAATGAGGCACTAAATAAAAGTAACACACAATGACATGTCATTAAAACACAAAGTAACACATGACATAATAGTAAAAAAAACAAAAGCATGTCAGTGAGAAACTAACATGTCAGCATGTTTCTGTAGTTTCAGTAGCCAACAGATCAAATGATGTGGCTAAACAACAAAACTGGCGACAGATAGGGCACCACAGACAACAATATGTACAGACAAAGTGGTAACAGAGCCAGACTACACAGAAGATGGACAGTGGAAATATCGTAGACACTGAAAAGTATTTTATATGAAGCGAAACAGAAGGGCTTGTTCCGGAGATTTTTTCCTGGCCTGATGCTACGAGGCATTTCAGGAGTAGAGGAAAGAAGAAGTAGAAGAAGAAGAAGAAGAAGAAGAAGAAGACTGAAACTAAATACTGACACAACATACACAGTGACAAGTTATCAGCCTCCCGTGGAGACGAATGAAGACCTACCTAAAAGTGACTCTTTAGCTCTTTCTTCTGCAGATTTGATCTTGACCTCTGCTGCATGCATCTTCAGTTTCTCGTTGGCACTAGCGTGGCCAGCAACTATGGTAGACAAACAACCAGCACTGGTCAACAACATGTTTTCTCAAGTATACAAGAGCAATCTACAACACAACTGAGGCTGTCACATTTATGAGGAGCACATTAAACAATGGTCAGAAGACAGTGTGTAGTCAACAGATTATAAATCTGGCTGAAAACTTTCCATAAACAATGTTCAGTCAAAAGATTAGAATCTGACTGTAAACTTTACACAGACAATATTTAGTCAACAGATTAGAATCGGGCTGTAAACTTTCCATTCACAATTTTTAATCAACAAATCAGAATCTGGGTGTAAACTTTCCACAAACAATGTGTGGTCAACAGAGTAGAATCTGGCTGTAAACTTGCCACAATGTGTACTCAACAGAGTAGAATCTGGCTGTAAACTTACCTCAATGTGTACTCAACAGATTAGAATCTGGCTGTAAACTCTCCACAATGAGTACTCAACAGATTAGAATCTGGCTGTAAACTTGCCAGAATGAGTACTCAACATATTAGAATCTGGCTGTAAACTCTCAACAAACAATGTGTACTCAACAGATTAGAATCAGCTTGTGACATTCACTCAATCTATGAACACATTCAACTCAGACATTCTAATGTAAAGGGATATGTCGCTCACATCGAAAAACAAGACTGAGCTTTTCTCAATTGCTCCGGGTTTAAATAATCTATCTTCCTCCTTGTGCACTCTGAAGCTTCACTAACAGTTTCATGCTTTCTTCGTGTGGCACAGCTTGTCCTACCTGCATGCTCTGGTATCACCCAAATCATACATTTTACACATTATCATCATCAAGTGCCTTGCCAGCTGGCATTGGAGTTCATGCATCTCCACAGAACTCTGTCTTTGGTGTTCTGGACCAACTGCACTGATAGTTCTCCATGCCATTGTCTTAAGCCATCCACCATATAATACACATACATTTTATTTAATAACTTATGTCATCCATTCATGTACTTGCTCATAATTTATGTTTAGTGGCTGTTGTCCTTATGTTCAAAATGTCCCAACAATGTGAAAATAACTCTCTACAAGGACCTACTCAATGTGGCTAGACATCATAGAACAAGGACCCACACAATGTGGCTAGACATCACAGAACAAGGACCTACTCAATGTGGCTAGACATCACAGAACAAGAACCCACACAATGTGGCTAGACATCATAGAACAAGGACCCACACAATGTGGCTAGACATCATAGAACAAGGACCTACTCAATGTGGCTAGACATCATAGAACAAGGACCTACTCAATGTGGCTAGACATCATAGAACAAGGACCTACTCAATGTGGCTAGACACGAGAGAGAGTCAACATCACAGAACAAGGACCTACCAACTGCGACTAGACATCAGAGATAAAATCACAGAACAAGGACCCAACAACTGTGACTACACATTAGAGATACCATCATAGAACAGGGACCTAACAACTGTGACTAGACATTAGAGATACCATCACAGAACAAGGACCTATCAACTGTGACTAGACAGAGACAACATCACAGAGCAAGGACCTACCAACTGCAGCTAACATTAGTGATAACATCACAGAGCACGGACCTACTAACTGCAGCTAACATTAGAGATAACATCACAGAGCAAGGACCTACCAGCTGTGACTAGACAGAGATAATATCACAGAACAAGGACCTGCCAGCTTTGGCTAGACATCAGAGATATCACAGAACAAGGACCTACCAACTGTGACTAGACATTACAGACAACATCACAGAACAAGAACCTACCAACTGTGTCTAGACATTAGAGATAACATCACAGAACAAGGACCTACCAACTGTGACCAGACAGAGATATCATCACAGAACAAGGACCTACCAACTGTGACTAGACATTACAGACAACATCACAGAACAAGGACCTACCAACTGTGACCAGACAGAGATAACATCACAGAGGAAGGACCTACCAACTGTGGCAAACATTAGAGATAATATTACAGAATAAGGACCCACACAATGTGCTAGACATAAGAGAGACAACATCACAGAACAAGGATTTACCAACAGTGGCCAGTCATGAGATATATGGGCTACAGGGATCAACTGTATGGCTAGGTCTGTGACATGTTCATACAACAAGAACCTACCATTTGATGCCTCTGCGATGCCTAATGGTTTGACAGCAATGTTGTTATCTGTGGGCCAGGCCACAGCTCCACCGCCGTCCAGCTTCCTCAGCTTTCCAGCTCGTTTGTTCTTCAGTGACTCTATCTTACGCTTGATTGTAGCTAAAGAGTTACTGCTGCTGGTGACCAGCTCTGAGGGTTCCGAGCTACTAGTGACCTCCTCTCTGACGACATGGCCTGCACAGTTGCTGCTACAAGTGGTCACATCAATATTAGCCTTCTGTTCACAGCTGGGCATGCCAGACTGACTGGGCATAGTCTGGGGGGAACCAGACTCTGGCAACACAATGTTTACATCTTCCACAATCTCCCCTTCCTCCAGACAGTCTGGCTCTTCTCTGGGATTCAAAGTCAGGGTCACGCAGGGATCACTGGATTCACAGGTGGATGTGGTCAATGTGGCTGTGAATGGACTGCTCGAGCTCACTTCTCTAGGCTCAGCTGGCAAGGCATCAGGCAAAACTGTCCTGCTGTTGCAACCTAAGGCATGAGCAGGTCTCTCTCCATGAACTTCCAGACAGGAACTGTCCAAGCTAGACGAATCAAAGCTGACAGCTATATTGTCTCCTTCAGGTGACTGAGGGAAGCCAAGGTTGCCAGTGACAGTGCTGTCCTTGAACAACTTGACCTGGTCATCAATGGTACTGAACTCTGCGGTTCCTGTATGCAGAGCCTCTTGCTGACTCTCCAAAGGACACTTTTGGAATGATTCTTGTGAGACTACCCAAAGCTTGCGTGGTGATGGCTTGGGGTCTGTAGTTGCTGGACATAAGGAAACTGTGTGACCAGCTGTCGTTGCTTTAACAGCCTGGCTGTGTGGATGGACATCTACAGAGATGTTTCCGGTGCCATGAGAAACTTCCATGGGAGTTGTGTCCCTGAAGACATCGCCTTCTTTCCCAGGCTTGGAGTTACCTGGCAGGAATGCAGGAGGTCAGATACTCAGAATACTTCGTACAATCATACACTACTAAACCATGAGACAATCATATACCATCAGATAATACAATCAAAACAGATCATAGTACAATCATTCACAATCAAACAGAACAAACATACACAAACAGATCAAAGTAAAATCATATACCATCAAAAAAAATACAATGACATCTACCAGATAACGTAATCACAGATGATCAGAATCTTATATAAGCATCCACAATCAGACAATAATACAATCACGGTACACTCATATACCATCAGATACAGATACAATCATACATTAAAACAAAAACACATCAGATTATACAATCAAATATAGCAAAATGGCATTGAGTAATACTAAGATCACACCCCCCCCCCCCCCCAAACCATCTCATATGTTTCAGTTCACCTCAAATATGTTCTTGGCTAGACAACTTTCAGTAGATGAAGTTTCCACAATCTTTCCTTAGAGTTTCCACAATCTTTCCTTAGAGTTTCCACAATCTTTCCTTAGAGTTTCCTCAATCTTTCCTTAGAGTTTCCACAATCTTTCCACAATCTTTCCTTAGAGTTTCCACAATCTTTCCTCACATACCAAGCTGATCCCCCAGTCTCTTTTCCCATACCAACCTGATCCCACAATCTATCTGCACATACCAACCTCAACCCACAATCTCTTCGCATATATCACCTTGATACCACAATCTCCTCACACATACCAATCTGACCCCACACATACCAACCCGATCCCACACAATCTCCCCTCACATACCAACATGATCCCACAATCTCTCAACACCAACCTGATTCCTTGTCTAGTTGTCTGCGGTACTGCAGGCAAGGAATAGCGGATAACGGGATGTCATGTGCCTGCAGGTGAACAAACATGCTGGTTACACCACATCAAACTTACACACAATGACAGTTACACTACATCAAACTTACAAATACGATACTAACATCAGATCAAACCTATACATGATGATAGTTACATCACATCAAACCTATTCATGATGACAGTTACATCACATGAAGCCTGCATATGATGATGGTTACATGACATCAAACCTACACATGATAGTTAGATCACACAAAACTTACACATGATGATAGTTAAATCACATCAAACCTACACATGATAGTTACATCACATCAAGCCTGCATATGCTGATAGTAACATCACATCAGACCTACACATGATGATAGTTGTGACAGTTACATCCTTCCATCAATTGAAGACAACATATAAAAGGATATGCAAAACACACAACTGAACACAACACATACAGAAGGACATAATACAACAAAGAAACAAACGATGACAACACTTATAGGACATATTAAGCAAACAAATCAAGGCAACACATACAGAAGGACATATAAAACTAACAACTGATAACAAAAGGACATATAGACATTTAAAACAAACAACTAAAGATAACACTGAGAAAGACAAAACTATCAAACTGAAGACACACGAATTATGTGAATGACATCACAAGAATGTATGGCTGGTTTATGAGTGACAACATAAGAACACATGTGTGGCTGTTTTGTGAGTGACAATGTAAGAACATTACGTATGTACAATTGGTATGTAAATTACAAGGACAACAAACCCGGGCGCTGGCTGAGCCTAACGAGTACGGCCTAGCCATTGTACACACTCTAGTCTCCTTGTGCAAGTAGACAGGCATGCCGCAGTTATGGGTCACACACACCCAACCTTCTGGCAGGATATCAAACGGATCTGACTCAAATTCTGAAATAAGCATAGATCTCATATTTGAAATAATCACAGTATGAGATGTGTAAAAAGCTCCATGTCAACACACAAGTAGAAATGTAAGGATGGCTACATTTTAACACATCCCCTCCAGCAAAGATGTAAGAATGGTTACACATAAAACACACTTCCTCCAGCAGAGATGTAAGAATGGCTACATGTAAAACACACTCCAGGGGAGATGTAAGGATGGCCTCATGTCAACACACACTCCAGTGGAGATGTAAGTTTGGCTAAATGTCAACACACACTTCAGTAGAGATGTGAGGATGGCTAAATGTCAACACACTCTAGTAGAGATGTAAGAATGGCTACATGTCAACGCACATTCCAGTAGAGATGTAAGGATGGCTACATGTAAAACACACTCCCTCCAGCAGAGATGTAAGGATGGCTACATGTAAAACACACTCCCCCCAGCAGAGATGTAAGGATGGCTACATGTAAAACACACTCCCTCAAGCAGATATGTAAGGATGGCTACATGTAAAACACACTCCCTCCAGCAGAGATGTAAGGATGGCTACATGTCAACACACACTCCAGGGGAGATGTAAGGATGGCTACATGTCAACACACACTCCAGGGGAGATGTAAGGATGGCTAAATGTCAACACACACTCCAGTAGAGATGTGAGGGTGGCTACATGTCAACACACATTCCAGTAGAGATGTAAGGATGGCTACATGTCAACACCCACTCCAGTAGAGATGTAAGGATGGCTACATGTCAACACCCACTCCAGTAGAGATGTAAGGATGGCTACATGTCAACACACACTCCAGTAGAGATTAAGGATGGCTACATGTCAACACCCACTCCAGTAGAGATGTAAGGATGGCTACATGTCAACACACACTCCAGTAGAGATTAAGGATGGCTACATGTCAACACACACTCCAGTAGAGATTAAGGATGGCTACATGTCAACACACACTCCAGTAGAGATGTAAGGATGGCTACATGTCAACACACACTCCAGTAGAGATGTAAGGATGTCTATATGGGCAGAAGGAAGAATCACTTACAGCAGTGATGAAGCAGTTGCAGGTAGGTGTGTTATGTTACATTATGTTGTGTAACTTGGGCCACGTATGTGCTTCAGATGTCTATCAGTGTGAATTGTGTACACAAGAGCTTTGTGGCTCTACGTTAAGTGAAAATTGTTTCACAGTGCAATTCTCAACATTTACTGGAATGATTTTGACAATTCAGTCACACTGTATCAGAAGTTCTTAGTGCAAAATGGCAAACAGCCTCTGAATTTGCAGAATTGTGTTTTATTTAGGCAAAACTCTCATTCAGGATTATTTAAGCAAACATTTTTTTTATTCTGGTGTCAGAAGATTTTTTGGTGGCTTTTTTTGCATCAATGTACAGCCACGTGATGATGTTGTACAAGATAAGGCAATTTTTTTCTTTTAATTCTTCAAATTTGTTCTCTATTCAATTTAGTGCAAATAAATTAAGAGTTTGTATTAAATAGTTGTGAAGATGTGGAATTTTTCTTGTTCTTAAGTCTACACTGCTGTACGAAAAAAAATTGTTATCTTTACTTTCTTTTTTTTTTTTGCACCAATCTACAGCCATATGATGATGATGTAAAACAAGATTATAAGATTATGCAATTTTAATTCCTGAAATGTGTTCTCCATTCAATCTGGTGCAGCTGGGGGTGACGAGAGGTCCTTGCAGATGCTCGAGGCTCAGAGGAAAGGCACGACTGACGTTTAATCAGAATGCTACTGGCACCATTGGTATCGGGACTCTTCGCTGGCTGCTGAAGATGTGGACGGAGAGCTAATGGGAATGCCCCGAGTGCTGTGATGTCGGTTCTTGAGTCAAATCAAATCTTGTGCAAAAAAACAAATTACTTTTTTACTTTAAATAGATGTGAAATACCTTAAATACACTGTATTTGGGAAAGTGCAAGCAATAATGGACTTGGTAGTCAACGGTGCTTACAAGACATCCACACACACACATTCAGGCAGCAAGACAGGATAGCAAACACTGGATTAACAAGACATGTACACACTCAGGTAACAAGACATCTACAGTCAGATAACATCACACACTATCCACACTCAGATAACATCACACACCATCCACACTCAGGTAACAAGACATGATATTCACCTACACACACAGATAACAACACACACCATCCACACTCAGGTAACAAGACATGACATTCACCTACATACACAGATAACAACACACACCATCCACACACTCAGATAACATCCACACTCAGGTAACAAGACAGGACATTCACATCCACACACAGATAACACATGTCATCCACACACTCAGATAACATCACACACCATACACACACAGATAACAACACATGCATTCCACACACAGATAACAACACATGCCATCCACACTCAGATAACATCACACACCATATACACAAAGATAACAACATATGTCATCCACACACATATAACAACACATGCCATCCTCACACTCAGATAACATCACACAACATCCACACACACAGTTAAGAACACATGCCATCCACACACATGTAACAAGACAATCAAACTCTTACCTTTCAACACAATCTTCTGTTTAATGATGGGGGCAGATCCATCATCCTTTCTCAATGTCTCCTGGTCGATTCCTTTCTCCAACAGAGCATGCAGCTCAGAGTCAGCAAGATCCTCTTCGCTGGTACTACCATCATCTATGTCATCATTTCTTTCTTTTAAAAGTGCTTGTCTATCCTGTTCATCTGCTTCTCCCTCTTCACTTTCTACCTGATCTATAATCTCAAATTCATGTTCTTCACCATCATCACCGTCATCGATGATGTCGTCACTCTCATTATCATTCACCACAAACTCCTGCATGCCAGCAGTATCACCAGAATTACTAGTAACATTTGTGACGCCACTGTCATCAGGCAGCAGACCTGAAGGTGTCAGCTGACCTTTCATGTTTGTAAAGTCTTTACAATGTCTACGTCATCCAGTGCCGATTGGCCAAAAGATGAGGGAATAATGAAACCAGATACTAGTGATGAGCATCAGTCAAGGTGCAGATCAAGAAACAATTCTTCATCACAAGCTACTCCCAATTTCCTGGCAATGTCAACAGATTTATGATGAGGTTATACAGCTGTAATGATGATAGTTTCTGCCACAAGTGACTACCTCAGAATCCAACCTCATCGATATCTACTGGTTGGATCTTTGAGATTTACACTCTGGCTGGCAGAATTTCCTCCAACAAACGGCAGGGCAGATCAGCACCATCTACTGCTTCACAGTATGGTCTGCAGGAGTGACACAGATTACCAGACTTTAGAGATTGTAACACTGACACCACACAAGGACATCAGTCACAGACATGTTACGATGGTCTGCAGGGGTGACATAAATTACCACACTAAAGAGTGTAAAGATTGACACCATACAAGGACATCTATCCCAGACATGTTCATATATACTGTAGAAAACTCATGAACCAAACTAATTAGAATCAGACATGAGTGATAACAGTCCTTACACGCAGCTATTTGCATTGCACTAAGCACTGGACAGACCAGACTTTGCCAACATTTTAATCAACAAACCACCAGCCTGCAGTGCCAACTGCAATGTTGCAAAAACTAATGTAGTATATCTTAAGCGGCAAAACTAAAAGAATACACATGCAGCATTATAAATAATTGTATATGTAAACTGTGACAATTCATTCCATCAATGAACTTTTTTTTTTTTACTGTCGCAGAAGGAGGACGTATCAATTTGTATCCACTATTCTCACAGCAGATTTAAACGATTTAATGATGATCATGACGACGATGCATCTGCCCTGTTTATGATGACCGATGAGGGGAGATAAAACAAAGCCGAAATATAACATACAACTATTGTAACGACTACCAGACAAGAGTTTACACGGTCCGATTGAATCAACCTACACTTTGTTCAGTTGTCTAATAGGACTACTAGTAACTACTATTCAACCGAGGACGGGACGAGTGCAGACCTTCAGACCAGTGTGTCAACATTTGTCACTATTCACTATCACTATCATTGATAATCAACAGTTCCAACACTATAGACACTAGACAGATAGTCTGAATCATAGTCGGTGCGCGGCAGTCACCTATACTGAAACTTCGAGCCCTACTAAACTGCATTTTAAAGTTTCAAAAATACCTATTTATTATATAAGTAAATTACAAAAATGTTCACGCATACAAAAGCATTTCTATTCTTATTCTCTACGGGCAAATAGAGGTTTGTAAAGTCAGGACCAACCAACGAACATCCCAGAAACAATGGCAACCGGAAGTGCTCCTCCCTGGTTATATCAAATGTTGACTGCTCCCAGCGCGAGGCCTCAACAGAAACGAACAACGAAATAAGGACGCAAAATCCCCTTTCTGCAAAATCTGTAAAACTGGAAGTCTTGCTGATTGTCGATTTCATTGCGCCGGATTTGATTCTGTATGGCTCGCTTTCTCCACATAACGGTAGCCGCCTGCTTGAGCTTCGCGCGAAGCCCGAACCCCACAGCTCCGGCTAGAGCCGTCCGAAAGTATAGACCACTTGAAGCGGGTTCTGCAATCAAGGCCCTGTAATCAAAGGATGTGAACATCCTTGTTGCCACGAATCTTCTCGAGTCTTTGAAAATCTATCTCCAGGAAACATTAGACAAATTTAAAGAATATGATACAGATTGCAGGCAGACAGTCCGGATCTGCACCACTAGGTGGTGAATTGAGCATGACAAGACTAATGTGGCCAGGGCCCTTTGAAAACAAGTAACGAAGTCAGAAGAATAACACGATTATTATGGCCTGGAGAGAATGATGCAGCTGGATGTAACCAGAGGGTCTGGCCGATTCACTACACCCAGAGGTCGGGCATGACAGACATTTAACAAGATTATACCGGTTCCATTAGTATTGGAGCTCTAGGCTGGCTGCTGAAGATGGGGACGTTGCGAGTATGGGAATTCCCCAAGTCCTGTGATGTCAATTCTTAACTCAGATCAGTTCCACAGATTAAATTGAAGAAGAGGAAGGAGGTGGTAGCGAAGTCTGCATGTTATTAGACATGTTGGATCTGCAGAACTGCCAGAACAGGTTCTTTTCAGTAAAACCGAAAAGTTCCATGTGGAAACATTTGTTACTATTCCGAACACTATTCCGAAGTTTGAGCAAACAATACGTGCAGAGGCTTATTCACAGACAGAAAATCTGTTTTCTTTCTTCCGTGAATTTGAAACCATTGCTTCTGTTGCACAAAACCTGATTGAGTGTTGGACTAACAACTTATATATCACTTGGCCCATTTCCACAAGCGCTCCGTCCTCATTTTCAGCAGCCAGTAAAGAGTTCCAGTCGTACAAATGCATTTAATTTAAAAACGACCCATTTAAACCTCCTCACCCCCTCCCTCCTCCCACCAGGTTGGAGACCACTTCTCTGACATAACCGCACTTTGACCCTTAGCTACATCCAAGGCTTCACGTAGAAGATAGTTTTTGTCAGCGGCTACCCTGGGGTTTGATCCGGCTTGCAGCACTTGGCGCCTGTCTGCAGTAATTGACAATAGTAAAATACTTTAAGGGTGGGTATAAAGGCTTTTTTTTTGGGGGGGGGGGGGGGGAGAGAGCTCGATGGTTTGGTGAAAGCTCCTGTTTTTTCTTCTATTTCTCATTAGTGGAAGGCTCCTGTTTTTTCTTCTATTTCTCATTGGTTGAGGTTCCTGTTTTTTCTTCTTTTTCTCATTGGTTTAAGGCTCCTGTGTTTTCTTCTATTTCTCATTAGGGGAAGGCTCCTGTTTGTTCTTCTATTTCTCATTGGTTGAGGCTCATGTTTTTTCTTCTATTTCTCATTGGTGGAAGGCTCCTGTTTTTTCTTCTATTTCTAATTGGTTGAGGCTCCTGTTTTCTCTTCTATTTCTCATTGGTGAAGGCTCTTGTTTTCTCTTCTATTTCTCATTGGTGGAAGGCTCCTGTTTTTTCTTCTATTTCTCATTGGTTGAGGCTCCTGTTTTTTCTTCTATTTCTCATTGGTGGGTGGCTTCTGTTTTTTCTTCTATTTCTCATTAGTGGAAGGCTCCTGTTTTTCTCTCTATTTCTCATTGGTGAAGGCTCTTGTTTTCTCTTCTATTTCTCATTGGTGGAAGGCTTCTGTTTTTTCTTTTATTTCTCATTAGTGGAAGGTTCCTGTTTGTTCTTCTATTTCTCATTGGTTGAGGCTCATGTTTTTTCTTCTATTTCTCATTGGTGGGAGGCTCCTGTTTTTCTTTCTATTTCTCATTGGTGAAGGCTCCTGTTTTCTCTTCTATTTCTCATTGGTGAAGGCTCTTGTTTTCTCTTCTATTTCTCATTGGTGGAAGGCTCCTGTTTTTTCTTCTATTTCTCATTGGTTGAGGCTCCTGTTTTTTCTTCTAATTCTCATTGGTGGGTGGCTTCTGTTTTTTCTTCTATTTCTCATTAGTGGAAGGCTCCTGTTTTTCTTTCTATTTCTCATTGGTGAATGCTCTTGTTTTCTCTTCTATTTCTCATTGGTGGAAGGCTCCTGTTTTTTCTTCTATTTCTCATTAGCGGAAGGCTCCTGTTTGTTCTTCTATTTCTCATTGGTTGAGGCTCATCTTATGTTTTTTCTTCTATTTCTCATTGGTGGGAGGCTCCTGTTTTTCTTTCTATTTCTCATTGGTGAAGGCTCTTGTTTTCTCTTCTATTTCTCATTGATGGGAGGCTCCTGTTTTTCTTTCTATTTCTCATTGGTGAAGGCTCTTGTTTTCTCTTCTATTTCTCATTGGTGGGAGGCTCCTGTTTTTCTTTCTATTTCTCATTGGTGAAGGCTCTTGTTTTCTCTTCTATTTCTCATTGGTGGAAGGCTCCTGTTTTTTCTTCTATTTCTCATTGGTGGGTGGCTTCTGTTTTTTCTTCTATTTCTCATTGGTGGGTGGCTTCTGTTTTTTCTTCTATTTCTCATTGGTGAAGGCTCCTGTTTTCTCTTCTATTTCTCATTGGTGGAAGGCTCCTGTTTTTTCTTCTATTTCTCATTGGTGGGTGGCTTCTGTTTTTTCTTCTTTCTCATTGGTGAAGGCTCTTGTTTTCTCTTCTATTTCTCATTGGTGGAAGGCTCCTGTTTTTTCTTCTATTTCTCATTGGTGGGTGGCTTCTGTTTTTTCTTCTATTTCTCATTAGTGGAAGGCTCTTGTTTTCTCTTCTATTTCTCATTGGTGGAAGGCTCCTGTTTTTTCTTCTATTTCTCATTGGTGGAAGGCTCCTGTTTTTTCTTCTATTTCTCATTGGTGGGTGGCTTCTGTTTTCTCTTCTATTTCTCATTGGTGGAAGGCTCCTGTTTTTTCTTCTATTTCTCATTGGTGGGTGGCTTCTGTTTTTTCTTCTATTTCTCATTGGTGGAAGGCTCCTGTTTTTTCTTCTATTTCTCATTGGTGGGTGGCTCCTGTTTTCTCTTCTATTTCTCATTGGTGGAAGGCTCCTGTTTTTTCTTCTATTTCTCATTGGTGGGTGGCTTCTGTTTTTTCTTCTATTTCTCATTGGTGGGTGGCTTCTGTTTTTTCTTCTATTTCTCATTGGTGGGAGGCTCCTGTTTTTTCTTCTATTTCTCATTGGTGGAAGGCTCCTGTTTTTTCTTCTATTTCTCATTGGTGGGTGGCTCCTGTTTTCTCTTCTATTTCTCATTGGTGGAAGGCTCCTGTTTTCTCTTCTATTTCTCATTGGTGGAAGGCTCCTGTTTTCTCTTCTATTTCTCATTGGTGGAAGGCTCCTGTTTTCTCTTCTATTTCTCATTGGTGGAAGGCTCCTGTTTTTTCTTCTATTTCTCATTGGTGGAGGCTCCTATTTGTTCTTCTATTTCTCATTGGTGGAAGGCTCCTGTTTTCTCTTCTATTTCTCATTGGTGGGTGGCTCCTGTTTTCTCTTCTATTTCTCATTGGTGGAA